CCCTGAAGTCTTTGCCGTGTGCTCCAGTGCGACACATGGCCAAGCACAGGGAAGCACGGCGCACATCATCCGTCGCTGCGAGGTTCTCTGCGTGACGCCTGCGTGTGTTAGAGCCTTTACAGTAAGGCCCCAGGATCACTGGCCGATCACCTGAGAAGTCGCGGACACCGCACCGACTCGTTGCGTCGCCGGACTCTCCTGCGTATTTGGCCCCGACTTTCGCCACTGCAACCACCGCAACCGAGCGAGCAGCTATGAACTGCGTATGCCGTGAGTGGCATAACTCTCCTTACCAGCGGCGAGCCCAGGTGTGTGTTATTCTTCATTTCAAAAAGAGCAACAATCGGACGACCGCGATAACAGAGAGAAGAACGCAGACTCCGTGATCTAAACAACAACAATAGCCGTTTTTCTTTCCATTTTCACTCTTCCGTCCTGAAAATGGAAAGAAAAACGCCCTATTCTTGCTTGTTCTGATCACGGAGTCTGTTCTTTCTTCTCTGTTTTCCGGTCGTTCCGGTGGTTGCCTCTATGAATGACGAATACACCTAGCCGCGCCTGCGCTGGTTAAGGAGGAGTTATTGGCCACTCACGCTACGTCAGTTCTACGTGCCTCGGCTCGGATTTGCGAGTGTGTTCCAGTGCGCGAAGTCGGCAAATACGCAGGAGAGTCCGGCGACGCAACAGTCGGTGTCGGTGTCGGCGACTTCTCAGGTGACTGGCCAGTGTATCTGGGCCTTTACTTGTAAAGGCTCTAACACACCAAGCAGTCACCAGAGAACCCGCCGACGCCGAATGTTGTGTCGCCGTGTTCTCCTGTGTCTTGGCCATGTGTCGCACTGGAACACACCGCAAAGACTTCAGCCGAGCACGTAGGAACTGCGCATGCGTGAGTGGCAATAACTCTCCTTACCAGCAGGCGGCGGTAGTGTGTATTCGTCATTCAAAAGAGGCAACAACCGGAAGACAGAGNCGAGCCGAGCACGTAGGAACTGCGCATGCGTGAGTGGCAATAACTCTCCTTACCAGCAGGCGGCGGTAGTGTGTATTCGTCATTCAAAAGAGGCAACAACCGGAAGACAGAGAAGAAGAACAGACTGCGTGATCTAAACAAACAACAAATAGCGTGTGCGTTCCATTTTCACTCTCGTCCTTCGAAAACATGTTTTGTGCGGTACTGGAGCTATCAGCCATTGGAGTGTTGCTTGTGGAAGACAAGCAACCGTTTCACTTCTCATGCACTTTGGCCCGACTGCCCGACCCGACGCATGGCCGATTCAACATTGAATCGGCCATGAAAGGCCATGAAAGGCCAAATAAGGCGTGTCACGGCTGACGGTGCGGGACACACCAAATTGAGTTAGGGCGACAGGGCACGCTTCGTCGTCCGACTAACGAAAACGGCCGATTTCGGCCTGGTGTGTCAGGGCCTTTAGACGCTTTTATCCAAAGCGACTTACATACTCAATACTATGGACAATCACCACAGAAGCAATTTGGAGTGAAGTGTCTCAGGGACACAACGACATGCTGACTGCAGTGGGGTTTGAACCTGTGACCCCCTGATCCGAACACCAACGCACAACCCACTGCGCCACACGCCTCACATGGTATGGTCTGAAAAGACTAAAATGTCCTTCCTGGCATTCGGAAAATGAAGAGTGGAACAGGCGAGCAAGTGTGCGTCATATGAGAGGCCCCGCCTTACATTTTCCGCCACAGATTTGGGGAAATTGGTCCGCGCGCAAAGCATTGTGGGGATTTTAAGACCGCGGAGTCTACACATGTGCAGCCTCGAAATTTCCCGCAACGAAGGACGCCAGCCTCGGTAGAATTCCAAGTATGCTGGACATTGGAACAGTCCTTCGGTGGCACTCGATGACGTAGTATGCTTGAAATAGTGGCTCTGGAGCAGCTTTACTCGAGATTGAGAAACACCCCCTGTGTTTCTCTCCCACACTTGCCTGAAACGCCTCCTTTGGACTCCTTTGTTTACTTCCTCTGACATAGTGCTTCTATTGGCTTGCTCTCCAACACATTGTACATGATGACGGGGGCGGGACATATTTAAGGTGTTGACCAATCACAACAGAGCAGGCCAGCTAACCAATCTATACTGTAAAATATGAAGATACATTTTTATTCATTTATGGAAAACATCTCTAAAAGAATAATCAAAACCACATTCACTAAATCTTATGTAAGTTTTGTCGATAATGTCTTTGTCAATTGTAATTTCACAGATTTGTTCTCCTTGTTTTTAAATAAGCATCTCTTTATGGCCGACCCTCTCATGTCAAACTAAAATAGTTTTTAAGAATGTAATGTCTTGTCATGAAAAGCAACACACTGCACAAAGGGATTATTATATCAGGGAGCGCTCTCTTTCTGAAGAGACAGCTATTCTTTATATGTAAATGGGATCGCTGGATAAAGAAGACTCAGCTTCAGAATGCCGCTTCATCGAGATGCAGTTTGCCAGAAACCAATAAATCACTCTCAAAATGAAAGAAAGCAGGCTGAAAAAGAACGTGCCGCTTTTATTATGAATATCCAAAGCAATATTTTATTGTTATTAAAATCCTCTGGTTCATAGGCAGTCCCTCATATCTCCAGAGGAGCTGTTTTAATATGCTTATAATTTAATATCCTCAGCAGGGTTCATTTTGATCTCTCTGTCTGACACTGCTCCCTTCCCTGCGCTGACAGCAGATGTAGATGTAGTGCATAAGGTGACACTCCTGGATAATAATTTCATGGCAACTATATGATGATATTTCTGTTTTCCATTTTTTTATGTATCCACAAGGTTGGGGACTATTTCATATTTGCAGTGGAAGCCAGTGAATCCCTTCAAAATGATGCAGGGAAGTAGCAGCTTTGCATAATAGTTTTAAAAGTTCACCACTTGAATTATTTCCACTAACAGCGGGAAGGTCAACAACTCATTCGACGTGATGATATTTTAATTCCTAACCAAGACTATTCACATTAGGCCTATTTACATTCTGGTCTGGAGTATGTTTTATTTGAGCCTGGAGCATGACTATGCAGGCTCAGTCTATATTTTATAATAATTAAGGAGTTGTTTCGGAGGGATGATTGAGGGTTAGATAGTGTGTTAAAGGGGCCCTATTATGCTTTTTCGGGTTTACCCTTTCCTGTAGTGTGTTATATAGGTTTTTGTGCATCTAACACATTGTTCGTGATAGACTAAGGGGCGTTATGCATTTACAGTAATAAAGAAATTACAAAAAAAACAGGAGGTTATTTTAGTTTAGTTTGCAGGACATCTCTAAGTGGACCAAGGGCCAGGCCAGCTAACCAATCAGAGCAGACTGGGCTCTGGTTTCAGACAGAGGGTGAAAAGAGGTGCTGCAGCACAGGCAGTATGAGAACAATAAAGAGCTTTTTGAACATTAAAGCATGGAGACATGTCACAGGAGAGGCAAACAATTCAAATGTGTGGCATAAAATGTCGGTTTTAAGGGTGGAAAGTCCATCATTTCAGAGGCAAATTACATAAATACTGACAGGTGCATAGGTGCATAAAGGGGAAGTTAAGAGCACGGAAGAAATAATAATGTTTTTTTTAAATATGTACAGTAGGCGTAGTGCTTGTAGATCAAATCAAACCAGTTCCATGGCATTGCTTAAATAAATACGTGGTTGTCATCACAATCAGAGATTAAAAGAAAACATCCTGCTGTTTGATTATGGGGTTTGGAACGTCAGAAAAAGCTGCCATCATCTCAGAGAAACATTTCACATTGTGTAACCAACAGCAAAACCAATGTGCAGTTTCTGAATGTTAAACGTGTTGTTTATGCGTTGCTTAAATTAGCTTTTTTTGAAAAAGAAAATCCAAAAGTAGAAAACTCGTTTTTTATTTGTATTTTGACCATGTTTAAACGTGAGAGATTTCAAATACATGTTAGGTTATTAGTTTGTCTTTGTATTGCATAATCTTTTAAAATTACAAAATTACACATTTCAACATCATTACAGACCATCATCTGGTTAAATTGTAGCAACTAATAGGCGACTATGAGAATATAATAATTAAAATTGTTTTGTTTTAAAGGCAGACATCAGCATAGAAAGAACTTAATCACACCCTTTTACATTTAAGCCTTCAAACCTTCTGTCACTCGGATTAAAATGACTTTTGAATCATACAGTATTTCAAAAATCCAATCAGTGGAAACGTGTGATATATTTAAGCAATAGCTCACGACAGGCCGTGGTATATGCTCATTATATCACAGCTAAGGGGCGTGGTTCGGCCCGACGCGAAGCGGAGGGTCGACAACCCCCCTTAGCCTGTCATGAGCTATTGCTTAATTATACAACAGTTTTGTCTAATCAATTTTATTATGGAAGAATTGTAGGAAGGAAGAATTGTGAATCAAAAGGGTACCCTAGATATTTTTTCTAGAATGCAGCTTGAAGTAAATGGGATACAAACTGTCTGAGTGTGTGTGTGTGTGTGTGTGTGTGTGTGTGTGTGTGTGTGTGTGCGTTCGTGCGTGCGTGCGTGTGTGTATGTATCACCTGATTGAGGGTCTTCTGCAGGTGTGGTGTGCCCATGCGTTCTGCAATGTGTCTGTACCCCGGGTGGGACAGGAAGAACTTCCTCTCAGCAGCCAAAGCAGCGCGGATGTCTTTCTTTCCATCAATGTCCTTCTGACTGCGGTTCACCACCCCGATGTAACCTAAAGAAAGACAATTATCAGTTGTTCAATGTGAGTTATGGTATAAAGACAAACGTGGATTCCAAAGCACTTGCGACCAAATATTACATTATTATAACATCTACAATTGGAGAGCTGTTCACATGTGGAACAATACAAACAAAGCTGTTAGTCAATTTAACACCATAGTAATTGTTTGATTTCAATGTCAGGAATTACAGGGAAAAGAATGCAGATTGATGATTGGCTGACCCCTACAGAAAAGACACCCTATTTTGGGTAGTATATAAAGTCTGTAAATATTGTAATGTACTAGCTGGATTCCAATCAAGGATTTAATCAAATGTGTGCGTGGGGGGGGGGGTTCTCACCTCTGCGGAGCGGCAGTAGTTTGTTTTCCAGGATGTCTCGTGCATCCGTCCCTTCATCCATCAGGTCCAGCTTGGTGATCACACCGATGGTCCGTAGACCTAAAGACAAAAGCATCAATGCTAATACTGAATCTATCGCTCTTAATGTATATTGACACATGGGATTTTAGGATTCAAACAGATAATTGGAGGTTATAACTTAGCTATTTCAATTCTAATAACCTTCAGTAGAACAGTATATAAACAGTATTTTACAGCCCACACTGCTCGAAACTAAGCCATAACATAGGCTATGTCTACAGCCTTGCTAGCTGTGGTTCTGTACTTTACATATACAGTCTACCATCTTTACTTAGGCACAGTAGAGCTAACTGCTATCAGCATGCTAACATGGTCACAATGACAATTCTAACACGTTTATGTTCAGCAGGGGAGAGATTTACCATCTTGTCGTCCATCTTAATTAAGTTTGTAAGCATGCTAACATTGCCTTAGCATTAGCTTATTACCAGTTTAGCATTAGCACTAAAGTACAGCTGAATATGGTTGGGAATGCAATTTGTTTTGCAGGTATTTTGTCATAAAGTATTAGACAAATTATAATGTCTTAACTGATGATGGCATTAAATGAAATGTTAGGGAGAAGCTGTAGTTATCATTCGTCCTATAATTACAAGCCTGAACCTTTAATAACTTTGTCTGGGTTTAATAAAAGAAGACGAAAGGTTGGGATGATTACATTTAATGATATCTCTACTAATTGTCCTGTCAAATTATTATATAATCATTTAAATACATATATATAGATTATGTCTTATATATGATTGCCTTTTACTTGGTTAAATTCTATTTTTAGTTCTAACTCTGGGATTGACATTTCAGGAAAGGCAAAAGTTGGATTTTTCAAATGGTTAAGGACAGGGGGGTTTTATGGTTTAATGGTGGCGATGTTTAGTTAATGCCTAAGAGAAGTTATGGGCAGTACCAGTTGGCTATTTTTGTTCTACTATAGTGTGACGGTAAGCTGTGTTCTGGGTGCAAAGCCATGTTATCCTCTCAGGATGAAGTTGCTCTGTTCCTGCATTTGAGATCGATTTCAATTGTATATTGACTTTTTTATTAATTTATTAAAATATAACAAAAGACAAACTTGACCATGAATCATTTATCGGTTTCTCTGTAAGGGAATTAGAATATCCTCCACACTAATCTCCTGTAATACATCTATGCTGCCAGGATGTATTTTAATAATGTATCTGTTAATTACGCCTGCAGCCTGCTTTTGCACTGAGGCTAAGATTTATAGAAGGAAGAGTGATTATGGCTGCAAGATATAGAAATTAGCTTTGTAAATTACAGCAAAATAGGTCAAATTTATAAAAATATCCAGCGAAAAGTTATCAAGGCCATTCAGATGATCCTATACATGAACACACACACTCCTCAAGGTCCCCTTACCCTGAGGGTCCACCTCCTTGGAAATCTTGAGGGCGTCGGAGTTGGCCAGGTCAGTGTTGGCCGGTGTGACAGCCAGGATCAGACAGCTGTCCTTGGTGATGAACTGCATCAGCATTTCCATGATCTGGTGCTCGATGTCCACAGGCTGGTCTCCCACGGCAACCTTGGTCATCCCTGGCAGATCGATCAGGGTCAGGTTCAGCACTGAGAGATGTTGATAGGGTATAAGGAAGGAGGTTAGAGGCTGAAAACCTTTACCAAAATGGCTACGTTGTTATTTCTGTGTGTGTTACCATTAGGGGAGTAGACACGGAGGTTGATGGGGACGGTGGAGATGCCCTTGTTGGATCCAGTGACCCTCTCAGTCTCTGCTTCAATCTCCAGACGGACCTCATCAAAGTCCACAAACTTACGGCCCTTACAGTGCAGGAACTCTGCATACTCTACACGGAGAAAATTAGAGATTTAGACAGGAAAGAGGGCAATTAATAGATTGAGGTTATGAACATAGATACAGAAACGTTACGATGGTGCAACAGAGAGAGATGCCACAAAGATGGGGAGTGCAGTATTTGTTTCATTAAACTTGTTGTATAAGCTATTTGAACTATGGATTTTTGAGAAAAGATTGTGTGAACCTGTCAGTTTCACAAAAAACGCTCATGTGTGCTTTGGGGTTGTTTTACAACTCAATTCTCTATAACTCAGTGCATTTTCTGCACATCTGTTTTGCAATGCATTTGATTAAATATTGATTTTAGCTATACATTTTCTATGAGCTAGTACTGTTCATTTTGACTACACACATCAGACTCTATGTTTTGTAAAGTCTGGATTTAAGAGTTCAAACCCTTTCCCAACAGTTGGTCTCTTTACTTGCCCACTTTAGAGTTAACCAGCTGGAGGATGAGCGGACGACGGGTGACGATGCCAGATCCTCTGGGTAAGAAGTCCCTGAAGTAGAGAGAGATATACAAATTAAAACACACTGATAACTTAGGACAGACAAATGGCTGTTTTGGCTGTGTCACAACAATAAAGTGTTAAAGAGCAAGAGCAATCGATTGCACTCTTATTGATCCCTGATTCATTATTCAGCAATGATGCTTTTCCCTCAGTAACTAAACTGCCAATAAGCATTTTGTTTTCAAACATCTCATGTCAGTAATGAATATGTGTCAGCTTCTACCCAAATGAAAAGCTTACAAGCTCTAAAAATCAATCCTCAGTGTCTACGCGTGTACATGTGTGCATTATTTATACATGGCAGGATTACCTTACAACACTATCCATCATAAATACTGCATAGAGAAAGAAGCATGTCTCTTTGTTTCCACTTCGCCTTACATACACGCTCATCTGAATGGAAACTCGTGTTCAATATAATTGGGATCATTTCCAGGTCACTGACTACCAAACTCTCCAGGCCATGAGAATATGTCTATCTGTCTGCTCTTCTCTTTGTGTGTTTGCCAGGTCAGCAGCAAGACTGAGTTTTAGCGTAAGGTAAGCAGGCCACACACACACACACACACACACACACACACACACACACACACACACACACACACACACACACACAGCTGACGTTGCAGTGAGGATGTTACACAACATCCTCCTCATCCCTTCCTGTCACTTTTGAAGCGCAACATGAATAATACCATTACCAACAATAAGACNATCTATCTATCTATCCATCTATCTATCATCCATCTATCTATCTATCCATCTATCTATCTATCTATCTATCTATCTATCTATCTATCTATCCATCTATCGATCTATCTATCCAGTGGCATTTTTATATGTACAAAAGTGGTGGGGCACAAAAACTTAGATGTCTATATATAAGCTTCTGCAGTGAGGTTCATGGCTGGTGAGGCGATGGCACTGACTCTTCAGGTTTACCAATATTATATTTTGACCTAAATCAAAATATAATATTATTTTCAAAAGCTTTTTTAGTCTGATGCTTCGATTACTTTTAAACAGACAGTTCAAGAAAAGGATACCCAAAAAATATAATTGTGTCATTTAAATATTGAATTGTTCTCTCTTAGCAAGATCCCATTTTCAATAAAATGGTGGTTTTACCTTGACTTGAAGATGAAGTCCATGCTATCCTTCTGGACAAAAATCTCTATTACTTTGTTGTAAAAGTCCTCCTTATCTTCTTGTAGTTTCAAAAGTCTATCATAAATCTAATCGATAGATTTATGATTAGAAAATTATAAAAGTAGGGTAGACGTCACATGTGGATATTATCCGGCTGAACAAAACTTGCATTTATCTAACAGGTACGTTTCCCACAGATCTTATTTGGAGCTATTTTCTAAAATGGAGAAATCTCATTGCTTTTTGTGGAGGAAACTCATTCGAGGCTTACTTCCTGGTTTTAGGACGCTTCTCTCGTCTCCTCTTCACACACCACACTTTTCGCGGCACACGTACTTACAGCCAATCAGCTCTGAATTATGTGAGATGACGTATGGTGGGGATGGCAGCTCACTGCCCCTATGGTCATTTTTTTTGCCACACACATTAAATAGGACACTACTCTNTATGGAGAAATATCATTGCTTTTTGTGGAGGGAACCAATGCGCAGCTTACTTCCGGGTTTTAGGACGCGTCACTGCAGCTCTCTCGTCTCCTCTCCACACACCACACTTTTTGTGGCACACGTACTTACAGCCAATCAGCTCTGAATTATGTGAGATGACGTGTGGTGGGGATGGCAGCTAAGTGCCCCTATGGTCATTATTTGTTTGCCACACACATTAAATAGGACAATACTCTGAGCATACGCATTGTAGATTTTACAGTCACTGTTCATTTAGACAGTGAGAGGGAGGGGCATGATCGGGTTTTGTCCCACATGGCTCTAAACAGCTCAATAGGCACACACTGTAGACACTAATTAGAAGAACACAGACTAAAACAGCAATGTATAGACAAATCAGATGATTAAACATGATCTTAAAATATATTTTATATATATATAT